CTTCTTCTTCATGTTTTGGGCGCACTTCTTATTCTTTTTTCTTATGTTTTCACGTTCTTTTTTTTCGTATGATTTTCTTCAGGTTTTGAAGTAATTCTTTTAAGCACTTCTTTCTCTTCTTTCTGCTTTCTTTGAGAGCACTTTTGTTGTAGTTTTCTCCAAACTTTTGAATATTGTATTTTTTTAAGGGGTAAACACTTTTTGGGACTAACCAAATTGTCACTTAAAAACGTATTTTAATTTTGTTGTGTATATTTTAGAGGTTTACTCTTATTTTATTTGTGGCTGGGAGGGGGAACCCTTCTCTTTTATTTTGCATATTTTTAAGGGATTCACTCTTTTTGTTTTCGTTTTTCTTTTCAGATCAGATCAGAGATTTTTGGGAGGGAAAACCCTTTTTCTTTTGGTTTGATTCCAGCAGCTGTTGATTTTCTTTCCTTATTTTTTGCACAATATATTTTTATTTCAGCATTTTGCTGTTGCTTTCGTTGCTGTTGTTGGCTGCAGACACACGCACACACAGAGAATGGAAAAAAGACAAAAAAAATTACGGTTAATTTTTGGAGGCGGTTAATTTTGAAGCAGAAGCAGCAGCAGCAGCGAAGAAGCCAAATGTCAATTGGAATTGCATTGGCCACCGATGCTGCTGAGAGGATTGGGCTGCGTCCTGGCCCAAAAACGTAGAAAGAGATTAAACACAAAACAAAAACAAAACAAAAGGCAAGAGGCCGGCTATCGGGAGGCATGCCATGCCCCAATATCTCTCTTTCTCTCTCTTTCCACGATCTCCACTGTTGTACTACTATTTCGATTATTAATATTATTATTGCTATTATTGCTTAACACGAACACACACACACTGCTGCACTCTTAAACTGCACTTTGGCGGGGTATATCCAATCTGTGGCATTTGCAGCGGGTGAGGGTGGGGGGTTTACTGCAATTATTGCAGAGCTATGCAACCATAAGAGGCATCAACAAAAACGTAAAAAAAATACTGTTAACCCACAACAGAGGCCAGCACACACACGCACACACACAGGCACGCTTACACGCAGAGTGAGCGAGTGTGAGGTGGGAATCGGGAACCGGGAAAACGGCGGTGCGGTGCGACAAACTGGCTGACTTCGAACGATTTGGACATGTTTAATCATGTTCACGAGCAAGGCCGTTTCAAAAACGCCCGCCCCGCCTCCAAATGTTGCTGGTGCTTAAAAGTGCTGCTTGGCCACATGTTGCTGGCAAACGGGCTGCCAGCAAGGTAAAAGCGGGTGCGGACAACAGGCCAAACGAACGCGGAAGATACTGCGCATGCAGGAACGACTCACCCGAAAAGTTAATGTACTATGAATGTTGCTTGGAATGTTGATGGTCCGTTTTGGCTCACTTGGATCGAAGCAAAGAGAGCTCACCACTCATTTTTGCGTTATATTTGAGCAAAAACACTGCGCTCTTCCGACAATGGCCAAAGGAAAGAGAAGCGTAAAAAGAGCAACGCTGTGCAACGGTGTATCTCTGTGTGAGTGCTTTCTTCAAATGGAAATACGCTAACACACTGCTTACACTTTACCATTAATCCCAACCAAAATTCAGAATGATATTAAAATTGAATTATCATGGCAACATTATATTTTTATGTGAAACCAATCACTTTTAAGAGAGCGCTTGTGGCGTCCCAGGAGTCTGGTTCTTAAGAGAGTGCTGCCTTTAGTGGTGTGCGTGAGCAGGGCCGTGTAAGTGAACCATGCGGAAAAACAAAAACAATAAGAGAAAAGTTCATTCACTTGAAGTTCACGCTGCTGCTGCCTGCCTGCCATCGAACGCCATTAATGTTTACACTTCTCTTTCGGTTCCGTTCCTCGTTCTCTTCTTCTTCTTGTTGGAGTGACCGTTTGATTTGAAACTGGTATTCGGGTAGGGAAATACATATATGGCCATTTCCGCCAAAATAAAAGCATTTTAAATATTAAAACACATATCCATATCTTTTTAAGAATATTATTTAAGTTTTTAAAAACTCTTAACGGAAAATGTTCCCAGTCTCGGGTAACGGAATATCTTGCAACTTTTTGTAATCCTGCATTTTTGTAACGAATTTCTTCTCATTTGCAGTTAACAAAGATGTAAATATAAAATAACACTAAATCTTTCTATTAAATTCAGCTAAAATTATATACAGCTAGTCCCAACTGATTTGCAGTTCAGCCATAACCTCAAAAATCACATATGTTTTTGGTATGTTCGAATTTCTACGGTATTCAATTTCTTTAGATTTTATTGGAAACAAAAAAAAAAAGAAAAAAACAGCACGGAAATCACAGGCCTAGCAGCCAATCGTGTTGGCATTGATGAACTGCACAAACATCTGGGGCACCTGGGCCAACGGTGTGGCTGCCGTCTGTGAGGCCCGGCACCTGCTTGTGATGAACTTCTGCCTCAGGCGATTCAGCTGAATGGCGTTCATCGTGGTGGTTACCTTGACGGGGCTGGTGCTACCTTGGATGCGCAGTTGACCGAACGCCTTGATCTTGATGGCGCCCAGGATCTCCTTAATGATGGCCTGCATGATGGTGTCCAGCTCAAAGAGATAGTTGGTGGCGCATAGAGGCGGCTGAATGGCAAAGAGAATGACTCGGGTTAGACTTGCATCGAATTTTTGAATGTTGACCTACGTTCTGGGTGCTTTGGTTGGGCGGCAGCGGTGCGGTCTCGTACAGCGCCTTGTATATGCCCTCCACGTCGAGCCTGTCTTCGGGCAGGGCCACCGTGAGCGGACTGTCCCAGCGGCTATTGCTGTTCGGCTCCTCGTAGCGCATGCAGAGGGCATCGAAAATCTCGCGGGTGTATGGCACATTCGAGTTGTTAAGCAGCTGTGTCGTCTGCCCGTCGCCCGGCAGCTCGTCCGGCTCCAGGCGCTGTGCGTTAAATGTCCATGCCTGCTCCTGGGGTATGCAGCAGAAGAGTGTGCACTGCGTGGTACGCGCCGACTTTGTTAGACAGTACAACTCATAGCGATAGCCTGCGGGGAATCAATCAGCGATAAGTATAACGAATCACGCGTTGTTTAAGGCACTCACCCTTTATGTAGTTGCCAGCGTCCAGGATGACAACGTCTTCCTTGTTGAGGTGACGCAAGGCTTCCGACTTGAGGTCGCTGCGCACCACTTTCTCCTTTTGCGAGTCCCCGAAGAAGGAGTTCTTCTCGAACAGAGCCTTGGGCACCGCCTCGTTCTCGCTGATCAGATGCACCTTCTTGCCCAGGCCGGCAAAGTGCTCCTGTAGCTGGCGAGCCCTCGTGGACTTGCCGCTGGCTGGCAGACCCGTTATAATAACAATTGGCATGATAAATAAATAAACCTGTGCTGCGCTGCCAGTCACATTTCACATACACATACAAATAAATACTTTTAATACTTTTTCCGACTTTTTACGCGTTTTTAACATTCAGCCAATGAAAATTTTTCAACAAATCGTAAGTGTTGTAAAATGGCTTAAGATTGTCGATTGTTGGACCAGCTGTTTGCGAAGATGTTCATCAACGCCAAACGTGCAGTTTGAAATAATTTTTAGTTTTTAACATCCAGTATATAATTTACAATGTCTGAAGCCCGCCGGCGCTACCGGAACAAGAAGCGAGATGACCAACGTCCGATGCAGGGAGCGGGACAGACAGCGCCGGTCACCATTGCTCGTCGCGAGGATCCACGCAGCGTCCAGCCGAAAATACTACTCAAAAAGGACATCGGCTCGGATCCCTGCAGCAGTATCAGTAACCAAGACCTGCCCTGTTTCCCCAAAACACTCATCATCAATCGCGGCAGCGATGGCCGCTCCGATAAATGCAAACCCACAGCCGGCCCAGCCGGATGCATGCCGCCCTCAACAGCCCCCGCATCCAATTCATCAGTTTGCTCCGCTTTGGCCAGTGCCCCACCAGCCAATGAACGGGAGAAGAGCAGCTCAGGCTCCGGCTCCGGCTCTGGAGCAGCCCACCTGCCAGCCCAAGAGCTGCAGCCACCACGAATGACACGAACCACCCCGTTGATAGTCTCCAACTGCACGTTCAACGCCAATGCGCGCAAGCTCTTCCACAAAACAAACACAGACTTCACTGTGATAGGTGTGCTGGGTGGCCAGGGTGTGGGCAAGTCCACGTTGCTCAATCTGCTGGCGGCCGAGCGGCCCCTGGAGTACGACTACTATCAGCACCTGTTCGCCAAGGAGGCGGACGAGTGCACATTCCACACGAGGCACAAGTGCAAGCCCAGCGCCAGCCAAAGCCAGAAGAGCATAATGCGCCCGCGCACCGAGGCGCTGCAGTTCTTTATCACCAGGGAGCGTTTCATTCTGTTGGACACGCCGCCGCTGCTGGTGGCCAACGGCAACGACGCGGACTACCTGGAGCTGCACTCGCTGGCCCCCATGACGCAAATGCTCAGCGTTTGCCACATCCTGCTGCTGGCCATCAACGAAGTGAGTCTCGAGCAGTTGCACTTGCTGCACACCGCCCTGCGGCTGCGACCGCGCTTCCTCTGCAAGGACTACGTTCGCGACTACCTGCCACATGTGATGTTCGTGCGGACACGCGCCCAGCGCCAGCATTTTGAGCCCCGCCAGCGGGAGCGACTCGACAAGCAGCTGGTCCATCTGTTTGGCAACACCGGACTGCACATCTATCGGGGCCGTGGCGATGCACGCTGCCTGAACAGCTTCATGCTGCCCGAAGTGAGTGGCAACGAGGCGACCGCCCACCATGCCTGCCTGGGCGAGTTGGTGCGGCAGTTTCGCGAGCGAGTGTTCAGCACAACGCGCGTCTCCATGTGCCAGAACAACGACCTGAGCGAGGCCACTTGGTTCGAGCTGCTGGCGGAGAGTGTGCGCCGTGCCACGTCGCACTTTGATAATATTTATGTGGAGATCAAGCGACGCCATCTGGATGCACGCTGCCAGTGGCGGGCCGAGAACTGGCGCAACTTTGACGCCAATTAGACAGGGAGAAATATATAGAAATACATTAAACTTTTATTTGAACCTCGTGTCTCGTGTCTGGTCATCTGTGACTTTTTTTTGGCTATATGGCATCTGATTGGTGGGGTGCTCGAGGGGGGATGATTGATTCTTTTCGATTGCCAATTGTTAGTTGGCCGCCGTATCACGTTTGTGCTGTCTCCTCGAAAGCTTCCGTGTCAGTCTCATTTGTGTCTGCATTTGCATTCACCAGCACCTCCATGTCGTTGTCCTCGCGCATTACCAGATCATGAGGCTCTTTGGATACCTTCGATTTGGTGTTCTTTTTGCCGCACTGCTCCTCGTATTGGCCCGGCTTGCGGCAGACCCAGAACAAGCTCTGATACTCGCTCTGCTTCATCGAGGACGGATTCTGGGCGTACTTGGTGCGTATGCCCGATCGCGAGCACTCGATCACAAAGCCCACGCTCTCAATTATAATGCACAGATCCTCGTACGAGGGCTCGATGCTATTCTGACCATTAACATCGCTGTAGTGGTAGAGCAAGGGCCCGAGATTCACCCAAATGCCGCCGGGAACAAGAATTCTGCAAGACGAAAAATGATTTCATCAGAATGTGAAACGCTGCAAGCAGAATTGTGCAACTCACTTGTAGATGGTTCGTATGAAATCGATGACATTGTTCGCACAATCAATGAAGAAGCACGTGGCCACACAATTGTAGCTGTGCGGTGTCTTGTAGACCTCGAGAAAGTCACCCGCCGCCATCTCGATATTGCCCTTGGGTGGATTCTTGAGCGGGCAAACGTCGGGGAAACGCACAGCAGCCACCTGATCCTCACGCCTCAGATTATTCACATACTGATGCACCCACGGGTACAGCACATACTTGTTCTCATAGTCACAGCTGCAAAGGAATATTGGAAGTAGAGGCAAGCGATGGTGAGGCTACAAAATGATACTCACAGATTTAGGACAAAGTTGGAGGCAATCAGCATGAAGTAGGAGAACTCATTGCCTTCGCATGAGTACCCCAGGCAGGCCAGCTCGTAGGTAAGCCGCCCCAGGCCAGCACCCGGCACCAGAATCTTAATCTCATTCAGCTCGCTGTGCAGAGAGAGAGGGAGAGCAATGACAATGGGTTTGCGATGGCTTTTAATGGATTGATTACTTACTAGTCGCTGGGCCTATAGTACTCCTTAATGCTGTCGATGATCGGCTTGTAGGATTGCTCACGCTCCAGTGCTCCGTCCGTGCTCCAGTCGCGCGCAATCAACTTCAGGGTCGATTGAGCCTTTAAAATTTTCAGAGGTTCAACATCAGCATCATCAAGAACAAAATCATACTGCGGCGTTTCGGGGATCAGGTTGGGGGGGGATAGTTTTAGGAGATGAAAGATTTAAGGATTTTGTTTTGAATTCCGAATCAGTTATAGAACAGAAGAGTGGAGAGAGGAATGATAGATGGTATGGCATGGAAATGAAAGCGTCTTTGTGTTCGTTGGTCTACCTGGTCCATGTCGCCATGTCGCACGTGTTCTGGCGGCTCATCAAACTCGCTGTTCGCCTCCGATGTGGGACTGCTTGAGCCATCCGCCGGGTAGAGGAGGCGTTCGCGCAGAATCTGTCGTATGACGGCCTGATTGCGATCAATGCACGTGCGCACGCAGTCCAGATGGGCACGGTATTTTGAGAGCAGACGCTGATCATCGGCTGGCAGGCTGTTCAAGTAATCCAGTGTCCTTCTCAGCCGCTGGCATGCATATGGTCTGTGGGTGGGGAGTTACAGATAAATTAATTGATTTTCTTTATCAGTCATTGACGCCGCGTGTACGCATCATACATACATACATACTTTTCGGACAAACTGCATGTCCCGTACATACACGCTTATCGTTTACACACACACTCACGCGCATACACGCGCAAACCTTGCACCCACACGCATCGCAAAACTACGGTTATTTGTTGAGGTGCCGGTGGCGGACTTGTCTGCACATGTCACAGCTCTTCTTCGCCCCGGCCACACTGCTCGTGTTCGGTGCCAGGTAACGGTACACCTGTTGCTACGGATTTCCATTTCATTGACAGCATTAAAAGCAACAGAACTCACCCATAGTAGAGAAAGGCATTCTGGACCTTCTGAATGTGCTGCTCTTCCTCATCCTCGTTGGCGGTAAATGCCCGAGCCACTTGCTCGTCCATTTTGGGATGCAGGGGAAACATTGATGGCACCGCATAGCTCATCCTCGCGCGTCACTTCCGAATTCTACGATTATATCTATAATTAAAATTTTGACGAAATATATTTCTACACCATTTCGATCGTCGTTTGTGACTCAGTGTGACCGCGAATTTATCGATGGAGTAAAATACCGTCCGACCCTCAAAAATATATCTTCTCATTTTCAATATATACCGTAAATATACAGGTTACTAAATCAGTTTCCTCGACTTTGACATTCTATTTAATATTTCCAGCTAGTTGGGTCTCGCAGCACAAAAACTAGTGTTTTATCCAATTGATGCATTAATTATCCAAAAGATTGTCTAAATTTCTTGACGTTCGTTCATTGGCTTGCTTACAAAGTTCAAGCAAACGCCTAACCCAGTCAGTTGCAGTCGCAGGAGCAGGATCAGGAGAAATGGCGCAAGAAAATGTTTCTACGTATAAGCCAGCTCCCCGAAAGGTGGACATTCTGTAAGTTTTGGGTAATACTAAGGTATTATGCATTTGCCTACAGCTAGGATTGTTTTATCTCACAGACTAATGGACCAAATGGAGGCAGAAGATGCATTGAATACATTCGCCAAGTACAGAAGCCGCCTGGATCAATTTTTTGAGGATAATCATAACAAAGGAACTGACAACTTTATGGGCATTACCCATTATCACATCATGGATATCGTCAAGCGAGACGTCGCGAATGCTATGATGCGAAAACTGCCAAAAGTGTATGGCGACGGCCGGACTGTAAGTGGCACTGGTAAGCGCTTTGAACCGAATTGAATTAATAACGGTTCGCTTTACAGTTATATTGTGTGCTATTTATAAACGCTCTACTGCCATTGTGGATTGTACGTCTCTTAATGGATACATTCAACATTAGTACTGAGGAGGAGGCAGTGCAACAGATCAAGGACCAATTGGAGTATGGTCATTATATGAACACCATAAATAACGTGCCTCTGGAACCAGATCTACAAGAACTAGAAGATACGCTTTTCCAGTAGGTGTGGAGTTGGCTGATCAATACACTCCTCGTCATGCTCACGACATGCGTTCTAGTCCCGTTTAGAGTCTCGGACAATCACTTTTGAATTATTCGTGTGTGCCGCTCTAATTTCACTTATGTATAATAATAATATCCACCCACATACAATAAATCTGTGAATTTAAAAGTGATTTTTGTTGTTTGTTTGTTTATTACAAAGAAGATATCCATTTTGCTTGCTGTAAACATGATCGTTACATATTCATATTGATGCATTTTATACGGTTTTTTTGTGTGTTTAACATTAGTCGACTGGTGATGGGAATGAGGAGGGATGGGTGTTGAGGCTAGGGTAAAGGCGTTGGCTGGGAACTGGGAACTGGGTACTTGTGTGTGTGTGTGTGTGTTTACGTGTTGCCTAATAACTAGTACATAAGATAAATTGATTACAATTTAGATTTTCTTCATTAGTTTCTCCTTAACTCCGCTACCAGTATGCTGCTCGCGATATTCCAAATTGAATTCGTAGCGAGGCGAGGCGAGGCGGGCGAATCAACTGTTTTTTAGAATATGCATTAAATTGCATAGTATACATACATATACATATGTATAAATCGTGTGTGTATATATATGCCTTTTTGTTATAATTATTATAATGTGTTTAAATATACGTAGGTGTGTGTGTGTGTGTGTATGTGTTTCCATCGTTCTTAACTCTATGCTGTTAACATTTACTTCAAATATGTTTGCTCAGCTCTTTTCATATATTTTAATTTGCAAATCGATTCACCAATCCACCAATTATTTATGTTCTTTGTGTTTGTGTGTTTGTTATGTATCTTAAGATTACGATTTTGAAAATACTCGTACTCAATGTGTTTCTCGTTTTGGTTGCTAACTTCTAAATGCACGCATCCTCAAAATGGCTAAGAATTTGCATTTGCCTCAAACTTTTTACCTACAATTTTGTTGCAACAAATAAAAAATTTAGCAAAAATTCGCACACGTGTGTGTTACACAATCTTCATTCGAAATCAAACAAAATATTTGTGTGTGTGTATGTGTGTGTATGTATGTGTTTTGTTTTTAAACTAGTTTGGATAAATTGTTGGCTTGCTTTATTTTTGATTGAATTCATAATAGATTCGATTTAGTAGGTTTCTCCCTTTTTTTTATTTTTGATTCGCCATCGAAATTACAAGTATGTAAATGACAATAAAACCATTTTGTTATCGTCGTAAGGTTCTAACGCGTTTTTGTTTTTTGCTTTTGTTTTTGTTTCTTTTGCAGCTGTATCACAATGGGTTTTGGTTTACTCTTTTTACTTTCCACTCTTTGCCGGTTACGCTTTAGCATTCTGCTTCAATTTGTGGCCGAACACAAATATTCATATTGTATGCATTTGTTTATGTATGTACAGTGGCTCCCACCTTAAATGAACCAAAACCTTTCAGCTTATTTGAAATTTGAATATTTGAATTCCAAAATCTCGGCTAAAAATATAATTTTTGATTTTAACCGTACAATGACCGTATCCAAAAATCGAAATAAATCGGGATTTGCTCGGAACTCGACCATTTTAAAGTGCCTAAACTTAATGATTCTGTCTGCTCCATACCCTAACTTATAATTCCACTAAGAATTGTTGGCTGATGTTGGACCAGAACATTAAAAAACGTGAAAATGTTCCCAAAAATGGGGGTGGGGAACAATTACTTACAATTATTAAAAATTGTATAAAAATAAATGAAGTTGGGTTTCTTGAAGTTTAGGTATTTATCTATCGGTATACATTAAGTTTTCAGTGGTGAGTTAGACGGCTCAGAAGTTATACGACTTTGAACTTTGAAAAAGGTTTTGGTTCATTTAAGGTGGGAGCCACTGTATGTATTTATGCATTGTTTGCTTAACTTACACTGTTGCTACTGCTGCTACGTCAAAAATGTATTTCTTAAATCAACAATGGCAAACAACAATGTTATGTCTGCTGTTGCCGCCGCCCATTGATAATCGCGAATCGATCAATTACTACGCTCAAAAGCCACTCGCTTCTAACTTTGGCGCTTAAAAGTATGCTTGTAGGTGTTTATGTATGTATGTATGTATGTCTGCATGTTGTGTGTGCGTCTGTATGTGGGCTTGTGAGAGTTTCTTCACGTTCGTTTTCTTTTATCATTTGCATTTTTTGGCACTTGTGCGAGACGCGCGCGCTGCCTGGCTGGCTGGCGACCAACACCCGCACCGTAACGGTAAATGCAATTCACTCTTTTCTTCTTTTATTCTCCAATTTTTCCTGTTTTTTTAGCCCTGGCTCTGGCAGGCTCTGGCTTGCATGTCCGTGCATGCGCATATATGTACATATATATTGGTTTTATTCTCTTTTGTTGACAAAGTAAAAAATGCCTAACGGAATCGAAACTAAAATCAACGAAAACGCAAAAAAACTAAAACAAAAAACAGCAAAAAGCGTGGCAAAACGATTCTAGATTTATGCGTTTGGCGAACATAAAACAGTGTTGTACAACAAACCATTGAAATAACGGTGTCTCTTTTAATTTCTTGCTTTTGTTTTGTCTTTGTGTTTCATTTTTGTTTTGTTTTGCTTCTTGTTTTTCAAAGCTGAACACATGCGAAACGCTTACGCGACGCGACGCGGCACTCAATTTGTTTTTTATTTTTTATTTTTGGTTCTAGTTACGTTTTTTTACTTTTTGGTTGAATTTTTTTCAAAAGTTGCATTTCTATACTTTAAAAAATATATGTATGTATGTATATATGGATCTGCGATTCACGATCGTCCTTGTATTTGTACATATATATACATAAATCATTAAGAAGAGTGAGAGACTAGGGCTGGGACAGTGCGAGAGTTAGAGAGAGAGAGAGACAGAAGGAGGCAGAGACAGAGGGGGAGAGAGAGAGAGAGAGCGATCAAGACAAGGAGGAAGAGTGTGACCCCAAAACTTACAAAAAGAAAATTTAACAAACAAACAAATAAAACTCCCCCCCATCCACATTTTGTAGATATCGGGAATTTCTTTTCGCTTTTGTTATCTTTTTCATTTCATTTCATTTTGTTTTTTGTTTTTTTTCCTTCCTCATTTTTGGGGTTTGTTTTTAGTTTTAGTAACTCTCTTAAATTTTATCAGTTTCAACGGCTTTTGCTCTTTTTTTTTCTCATTTTTTCGTGTTTTTGTGTTTTACCATTTTTTTTGTTTTTGTTTGTTTATGGTTTGTCATTTGTTGTTTGGGTTTTTTGTTTTGTTTTCGTTTTTCCCCCGTCTCGCAGTGTGTGGTGGACACAACAACTTATAGATAAATACAATACAAATATCGCGTCTATAGTTTTATTTCTTCAAAAAAGAATGTATGCCTCAAGTCATCCATAATACATATATATAGCATAGCCATCAGCCATCAGACATTGTCTATTTAGCGACAACGACAATAATACAAATACATAACATATATCCATATTAATATTCATATTCGTATTCTCATATTCATCTGCAGCGGTTTGCTCTGCTAAACTGCATTTAAACTGGTTATTAATTGGTATCTTTTTTGTATTTTTGTTTGTTTATATAAGTCTATCACATCATCACAATTCGGTTGCATCAAAATAATAATTAAGAAAAAAACAAGAATACACAAAAATTAAAAACAAAACAAAAAACCATCTGCTCCATTTACACCTGCCATTAACATACACCCCTCGAGGCATACCCCTGCATACAAACAATAATAATAATATGTAATAATAATAATAGTATTTTAGTGGACCCTGTCTATATATGTATGTATGTATTAATGTGTGTACTCCCCGTAGGAAACCCCATTTCAAATGAACTGAAAACAGCTGTACCCCAAAAACGAAACGAAATGAAATGAAATGAAATGAACTGGAACCAATTTGATTCGTTAACAATCCAAACAAGCTCTCATATATACCCATCCATTCATCTCTCCATCCTAAGTATCTATTGTTCGTACACAAAAAAAAAACAACAAAAAAACAATCTAGTTTTTTCCTTCCCATTTTGGGTTTTCTTTTCAAAGAGATCCTTGTGGTTGGCATTGTAATTTCTTCTTCTTCTCCTATTCCTTCCCCTGGTTTTTGCTATTTACTAACAGAATCGTTGTACATATGTACGTATGTATATAGAGAACTAAAAATGAGAAAATTGTTTCAAGGAAACTTGGTTCGGCTAACGAATATACACCGCATGCATATACGAATAAATACGTTTACGTAGCATATCATTTAATCTACATGATTCTTTGACTATTTGTAAAAATTTATTTTCACTTTTTCTTTCTCTTGTTTGTTTGTTTTTTTGTGTTTGTTGTTGTATAATCCCTTGTTTCTGTTCTTTTCCTACGGCTAAATGAATAAAAGAAATGATGTTTCCGTCATCTTTTGTACTGATTTGTGGGTAGATGGTAGGTTAAATGGTGGATGCTGCCGCTGCTGCTGCTTCTGATGATGATCGGGATGCCAGCAATTCTACTGGACAGACGACAACTGCTGAAGGCCCACTCTGGTGGTATGTATACATAAGTATGTACCTGATATCGTTGCTAACTCTTATGTATTACTGGAGCTATCGCGCCTCTTACTACTACTTCAACGAAACTCCAACTCCAACTCGAACTCGAACTCGATCTTTTGCGTTATTATCAAAATCGGGAAAGAAAAAGAAAAAACAAATATGCAAATTTGAACGCGAAAACAGAAATCAAAATTGAAAATTAAAATTTATATCGAAACAAATACAAATTCGATTAAAAGGCAGAAAACCATTCAATTGGAATAATCTGGAAATATGCATTATGTTGGCTGTAACTGTATTATCATTATCAATATATATTCATTCGATTCTCCCACAACTTCTCTTCTCTGCATCGAATACATTTTGTGTTTGTTTGCTTCGTTTTCGCTTTTCCTGTTTTTATGGATGAATGTGGCAGTCTTTTCTTTTTTTTTTGTTCCTGTTCTTTGACTCGTTGGAACTTGGAATAGTTGAAATTGAAATTTGTATTTGAATTTCTTCTTGATTTTAAGTCGTTTGTTTTACCATTTTTGTTTGGCTTTTCTCAAGTATTTGCATAGAACTTTTGAAAAAACTTCATTAATTTAGGGGCGAATGTTGTGTGGGGATTATTTGGGGTGGGGGTTTGGGGGATTGGT